TGCTCTTCTCAAATTATATCTCAATAACTTTAGTATTTCTCAAATAGGTGAGTATATACCCACAGCTTATGTTTTCACTTTTCAACGACTCTATCACGGTTAGTTAGGGCATCACTAGCATGAGGAGTACAAACCTCAGATGGAGAATGTATATTATATTATATTTTTGTGTGTATACGGTTAAGATTAATTTAATTTTTATCTATTTTATTTAATGGGACAAAATTCATCCCACTTTTTTTTTTCTTAAAAACATCATATTTTCTACATAGCCCCCAATGTTAAGATAATTCAACCAACTCGTTCTGCAATGCTAGATAATACCATTAATTCACATCTATCTCTCTTTTCTCTCTCCAAACCTCTACCTTATTTTTTTCTCTGTTCACTTTAATTTTAAACTATGTACCTAAAGAAAAGAAAAATATATATTGTTATATGTAAATGTTCAATTTTTGATATTACTAAGACTTTTTATTGCTTGTATATGTACGTGTGAGAGAGAGAGAGAGAGAGGAATCTTGAACAAATACAAATATGAAAAACTAGCCAAGCTGTTGCATATCAGTGTGTGGGGTTGGTGATAAGTTGTACTGTTCAGTTTGTATCGTATTTAAGTCGTGTCATGATAAATACATAATCAATTGATTGTTATTTATATTGCTCATGTAATGTAGGATTCGTGTCATATATAATCGGATGTTGATCTATTTTGTAAACCGATCCACAGATCAATCTGATAGTGGCATCACAAATGCTATGCTCTAAGTGCTATATACAACTCAGCTTTCGGAATAACATTTAAAAATGGCGAGTGGCGACAATTTGTGTGGACTTACAATAGTTTTGATTATTTTAATGTGGCTTGCGGGTGGATGCCACATTCCCCTCCATATACTGAGATTTAATATTTGAAAACCTTGTCCGCAACCCGTTTGTTTATACCATGATATGATTCAATAAATATTAAAAACTCAAGTGTGTCAACTGATTCTAAAATATTTATATAATATTATTTCTGCCAATAACTAATTAAATAATGGATCAATTATAGCCTGTAAAAGACAGGTGTTGAAGCAGCCATAACTTGGTTTTATTATCATTTTACACGTCATGGGTTTGAATCCAGAAAAAGTCTCTTTGCGGATTTATTTTGCAAGTTACTAAACTACAAAATGAATCTATCATAGCTTGTACATTGGGGAGGGGGGGGGGGGGGGGGGGGGAATATAGCTTGTTGCTGATTGATCTTATCTTTGTGCTTTGAGCAATGACGCAAGTAGTGAGGTCTTAACCGAGGTGCGTCATTTGCTGGTTGAACATCAACTTCAATCCCTTGAAAAGAAGGAAAATATATTGTAACTAATTTGAGAACCTAATTTAGATATCCGAAATATCTCATACTCACTATTTACCAATGAAACCTAAACTCAGCCATATAGATTGGACATGAAGGTCCAGCAATGGCATCAATTCTCTTGGCCTAGAAGGGTTTAGATTGGTTAAAGTGAATTTGAGTGGGGAGGAAGTTGGGTGCTAAGGCCTTAAGGGGGAAGGGGCAGAAATATGGACCAATATTAATTTCTTGTGAGAGTTTTATCTTTAGATTCTCGAGATAGAAGCTCTTGTAAACCAACTCAAGTGTGTGGAACATGTGTTTGGGTAAGTATCAAGAGAGAACTTTTGTCCTCCCACAGCAACACTAGAGATATATGTGTTTGAATGTATATTTTATGTGTAAGCATATATTAGGGATAAAGATGGTACTTGTTATTGCATATACTGGATTAACAATCATGTTCTAGGTTGAAAATCCACCATGTTCTCTTGATTGTAACTTCTTTTAGATTGATTTCTTTCCATAAAAGAAAGTTTGGTATATATCATATATCTTCAACCTAAAGATTTCACTGATTGATCACAGATTTTTTTTTTTTTTTTTGCTATTTGTTTGCAGAACTTAAGTTTGATGGAAGTGTGAAAACACAATGTTCAATTTCTCGGAAAGTAAATTTCATTGAATTAAAGCAAATGTACATGTGTACAAAGGAAGAGTTGAGAAGCTACAAGCATTGACAAGAGCAACAAAAATCAACAAATCTGTAGGAGCTGCTTGTTTAGGGGTACCTCAGACAGATTTGACAAACATGTTATAGGCACAAGAACTATGTCTGCGGAGAACAAAAATTATTAGACAATTTCTGAGCTGATACAAGAAGCAGGGAGCTTCCATTTTTGAGCCAGGTAGTAATTCTACAGTGAAGGCTTGAACTTTAGGGAGGCCATTCTGTCCCTGATAAGCTGCACAATGATTTTGTAGAGAGAATGAGAGTCTTTATAAAGATTGGAATGGATCATGTTATTGCGTTCCCTCAAAATCCTCGTAGACTGTAGTGGATAAGCAAAGTCTTTGCATAACTATGAGCATAGATTTGCCTCTCCAGTGATGAGCAGCCCACTCAATAACGTTCAATTTCTATTTGGCGCTCAAGGACAAATTTGGTCTATATGGAAAATGTGTCTAAAAATTTTATTTGGGGCTCACTAAAAATAAAATTTGACTTAATTAAACAAAAAACTTTATAGAGAGCTCTAAAAATAATTAAACCTGAATTTAAAAAATTTATTTGAGACCTTGAAAATTGAAGGCCGCCCTAGGCGGCCGCCTTAGTGGCCTATCTATTGGGCTGCCGTAGTTATAATTAATAAATAAAATTAAAAAAAAAAAAAAAAAAGAACGGATGATTTTCCAAGCCCTATATGTTATGTTTTGGGCAGCCATTAGTCATTCATCAATGTTATTTCAGAATATTTTTCCCTTATTTCCTTTGGAATTAATTTAATTTTGGGTGAATTTGTTGTTCTATATAGAGAAACATAATTATTATCTATGTGACCATCCGATTGTAAACTAAACATAATGCATCTCTCACTGCAATTAATAAAGACTGTGATTAAAGGTGTTAAAGAAGGGTAAGGAATTTTTATATCATGCTTAATAGAATCATTCCTATATATCATTACAGGCAGAATTGTTTTGTATAATCTCTCCAAAAGTTAACTTTAAGCTCATGGATGGGGAATCTTTTCTCCAAACTAAGAGCACTATAAAGACCTTTTCTGGGCATGCGGGTTAATGGGGTTTGAAGGAAAAAAGGAAAAAAATAAGTAGATAAAAAAAAAAAAAAAAACTAATGGGTATCACTATAAAAAGGAAAAAAGTGAGCAACATGTGATGACCTCGCAACTCAAAAACTTAAGTTGTTATGAGGAGAACCACCTAAGATCTTATAAGCCTATATGACACGCTCGACAAGTAGCTAGGTATTGTATATATACTCTCAACTTGAGGTCTTGTGTCGATTTTCAGCAATTCAGATCCGGTCTAATATGTTTTTGAAGATCATCAATTGTATAAGAAGACCCACCCCGTATTGCACAAAAGTCCCCTTTAGTTAGGGTTGAATTTATAATTATTAGAAGGGGAATTACAATGTTTTGCTTATTAATCAAGAAGGATTACCAAATTCTGTCCTTACACATAAGGAATTGTAAAAGAAAACATAAACTATTATGTGAGATAATGTTTCTGGTTGTGGCTAATAGTTTTCCAAGTCACAGAATTTAGCCCTTGGCACCTTGGTTTAGCACACTTTTCTGATCATAAGAAAATAAAACCTTCTATTGTATTGTCTATGTTATTGCAAATAATTTTTCAGTCAAACCCTTCACCCTTTGGTTATCATTTGCTTCTATACTCTGAGATTACTAAAGAGCAATGTTATTTGGATCTGATATGTTAATTTAATCATTTTCCACCATTAGATTGAGAGAGAGAGAGAGAGAGAGAGTTACTCAATTGCAAACGTATATTACAAGCACGACAAAATTATACATACATAGCAACCTTTTTAACAACACAGTACAGGAATCAGGAGAAAAAAAAAAGGAAAAAAAGGATAAAACCACAAAAAAAAAAAGATTTTAAAAAAACATCAAAAGGATAAACCCTAGCTGTAGTATTACTACAGTCCAGTAGAGCCAATCAACTTGGTTAAGCCAAAAGTGATACCCATGGCTAGCCACCCTCCAATTAGTATCCTCAATGAAGACTTCACCACAGGTGTTCCACCCAAGTATGCACCAAAACTTCCAAACCCTAAAAGTGCAAAAGTCACAACCCCCACCACCACCCCTAACCTCACATGATAGTCCTTTATAAAAGCCGCCCCCAGCAACGGCACGGCTGCCCCGGCTGCAAAAGCCGAGGCTGACGCCGCCGCAGCCTGCAGTGGGTTCGGCAAGTCCTTATTGTCCTCCAACTCAGTCTGTGTAGCCCTACTCTCTCTCTTCATCTGAGCCACCTCGATGTCATACTGCGAGTACACGGAAACAAACTCTCCGATGGCCATACTACAGGCACCGCCGACCAACCCGGCTATGCCAGAGAGGATCATGGACTTAATGTCCGTTCGGACGGCCCCAACGCCCATCATCAACGACGCTGTCGAGAGCAAACCATCGTTTGCGCCCAACACAGCGGCTCTAAGCCACTGTGCTCGTTTTGAGTAATCAAACACCTCAATTTCAAGTCCTTCCGGGGTTTGTTGTCCTTCTATATCGTTCTTAGGTGTGTTTTCTTGAGTTTCGTTAAAGGATCTTTGTGGGTCATTTGGTTGTCTGGTTGTTGCCATCTTAGAGAGAGGAAAAGAAGAAGATTATATGGATACACAGAGAGCTATTTATATGGTGCACTATGTGTCTGTGTGTGTGTTTTGATGGAATTAAGGAAGAAGGAAGAGAGAGAGAAAAGGGAAAAGAACGGTATGTGTATGAGACTAAGAATATGGATTGGAAGTAGTGTGGAGGACACACGCCATGGGAGGGTGGATATTTATCGGGGAAAACATGAACCGTAGGAGAAATGTTGATGGCCATCTGGGGCAATTTGGGCTTAGGATGAAGGTTTTGGAATCTGATGCCTTCACACTAGTGATAAAAGCATATTCAAACTTGATTTTTGTTTGTTTAGGAAAATACTGGTAAAACAAGCTGGGTTGGGCAAAAGAGTACATCCACCTATGGAGTAAATATTGTTGTAACAGTTACCAGTTTAAATTGTTCAATGATAAACAAATAAGTGGACAAGTACATGGATGGTTATTTACATGGATGGTTAGTTATTTAAAAGAGTGGATTCCAATTTTTTCTATTTGTTGAGGTTTTTCTCTCTCTATTGTTCAAAGTTTACTTTTGTAAGGCTCCATTACAAGGAATCTAATCATACAAACATTTGGAAGTGTGAAAACTATGGATTCCATCTTTGTACAAAGTATGATGCAGACACCACTTGCCTAAGCTAAATCCCACTTTTGATCTTCTCTAAATTGCAGATTCCAATTAAATATGCACAGGGAGTGTGGCAGCCACATGCTCTTGTTGACAATTTGTCGAACAGGTGGAGTATATACCCACAGCATTTGTTTTCTCTTGGCTCTATCATGATTGGTTAGGGTATCACTACCATGAGTACAAACCCCAGGCGGAATATATATATTATATTATATTATTAGTAATAACTTCGCGTTTGAAGATATTTTATGATACAAAAATTGAACATTTATTGTACAATATTTTAAATTTATTTTTTCTATTTAATCAAAAATTTTAAAATTAAATTAACAAAAATAAAAATAAGAAAGAGGTAGGGGATAGAGATGAGAGGTAAAAGTGTGAATTGATGGGTTTGTTTGGGTGTGGAGTAAAAATGATATTTTTGATCGGAAAAATCAATTTTGGGATGAATTTTGTAGATTAGGTTAATCTTAAGTTGTACTTTTATAAGTCAAGAATTTAATTTACTAGTTGTAATATTAATTTTTTTTTTGTGTACATGCATATATAGAGAAAGTGAATTTCATTTAACATTGAAATACACAATTATTTCAATGACGGCATTGAATCATATCCTTGATTTAACTTTGAAAAATGGACAATTTGTTTAGACTGACAAAAATTTTGATTATTTTAATGTGGCTTGCGTGTGGATACCACACTCCCCTCCATATATTACGATTTAATATCTGAAAACCTTGTCAGCAACGCATTTGTTTATACCATGATATGATTCGATAAATATTAAAAACAGTGTGTCAACTGATTCAGAAAACATGTATATATTATTGCTGCCAGTAACTAATTTACAAAATAGATCAATTCTAGCCAGTAAAAGACGGGAGTTGAAGCAGCGATAAGGTAGTTTTATTATAATTTATGTGTCACGAGCTCAAATTCAGAAAAAGTCTCTTCATATGCGGGTAAGCAAGCAAAACGAATATATCTTAGCTTGTATTACATTTGGTGGAAAACCTAACTTGTTTCTAATTGATTTTATCCTTGCGATTGGGGCAATGACGCAACTAGTGAGGTCATAACCAAGGTGTGTCTTCTGCTGGTTGAACATTTTCTCCAATCCCTCGAAAAAAAAGAAATTATTATTTGTACTTAATTTGAGGATATAATTTAGATGTCCTACATATCTTATACTCACTATTTACCAATGAAATCTAAACTCAACCAGATAGATTGGACATGAAGCTCTAGCAATGGCGTCGATTCTCTTGGCCGAGAAGGGTTTAGGTTGGTTGAAGTGAGAGTTTTATCTGTAGATTGTAGAGATAGAAGCTCTCGTAAACCAACTCAAGTGGGTGGAACAAGCATTAAAATTGAATCTATATATATTCTTTCTCCAAGAATTTGAATTCATGCGCCTCACCAACATAATTTTTTTTTGGGTAAGTATCCAGAGAGAACTTTTGTCCTCCCACATCAACACTAGAGATATATATGTATATTGTATGTTTATGCATATATTAGGGATGCAGATGGTACTTGTTATTCCATATGCTTTGATGATTATAAGAGCTCACTTACCTTCAACATTTTATTTTATTTTTTTTGATCTTGATAAACTATCATGTTCTGGGTTGAAAATCCACGATGTTCTCTTGGTTGCAGCTTCTTTTAAATTGATTTCTCTCCATAAAAGAAAGTTTCAACCTGAAGATTTCATAGACCAATTACAGAACTTAAGTTTAATGGAAGTATTGAAACACAACGTTCGATTTCTACTTGGGGCTCAAGGACAAATTTGGGCTTAATGGAATATGTGTCTAAAAATTTTATTTGAGGTTTACTAAAAATAAAATTGGACTTAACTAGACATTTGTCTAAAAAATTTATATAGAGCTCTAAAAATAATTACACTTGAATTTAAAAAAATTATTTGAGACCCTGAAAATTGAAGGGACGATTTTCCAAGCCCTATATGTTATGTTTTGGGCAGCCATTAGTTATTCATCAATGTTATTTCAGAATATTTTTCTCTTATTTTCCTTAGGAATTTAAGTTTGGGTGAATTTGTTCTTCTATAGAGAAACATAATTATTTTCTTTGTGGTCATCCGATTTTAAACTAAACATAATGCATCTCTATCTGCAATTAATAAAGACTATGTAATTAAAGGTGTCAAAGGAGGGGAAGGAACTTCTATATCATGCTTAACAGAATCATTCCTATCAGTACAGGCAGAATTATTTTGTACAGTCTTTTTATAAGTTAACTTTAAGCTAATGGATGGAGAATCTCTTAGCTCCAAACTAAGAGCACTATAAAGACCTTTTATAGGCATGCTGGTTAATGGGGTTTGATGGAAAAAAATGAAAAAAATAAGTAGACAAAACAAAAAAAAAAAACTAATGGGCACTGCTGGAAAAAGGGAAAAGAATAGTAGTATGTCACCGACTTGTAACCCTAAAACTTATGCTATTAAGAGAACCGTCCAAGACCATATAAGCCCACATGACACCTTATACCTAACCGATGTGGGATTCGTGGAAAGTAGTTAGGTCTTGTATATACTCTCGACTTGAGGCTCTTGCTTCAATTTTTAGTAGTTCAGATTCCGTCTATATATTCTTGAAGATCAATTATTGTATAAGAAGACCCACTCCCACGTAATTGTGGCATAACATTTTAAGTTTAATGTTCATTATTAAATTGAATCTATAATTATTAGAAGGAGAATTACAATGTCTTGTTTATTAATTAGGAAGGGGAACTACTCGAACATGATTTATTAACCTAATCATTTTCTATCATTAGATTGACAGGATCCTACTATTAGTTAGAACCTATTATCAATTTAATAGTTTTTATGTCTTAGATCCGTAAATTAACTTCAAATAATATTTGAGAGAGAGAGAGAGTGAGCTACTGTAATTGCAAAAGTATATTACAAGCACAACAAAATTATACATACATAATAACTTTTTTAACAGCACAGTACATGAATCAGGAGAAAGATAAAAAGAAAAAAAAGGATAAAATCACAAGCCAAAGAAAAAGGATTTAGAAAAAACATCAAAAGATAAACCCTAATTGTAGTGTTATTACAGTCCAGTAGAGCCAATCAAGTTGGTTAAGCCAAAAGTGATAGCCATCCTCCAATCAGTATCCTCAATGAAGACTTCACCACATGTAGGGGTGTTCACCCTATTTTATGGGTAGAAAATATAATTTTTTATTTTTCTACCCGATACTTTATGGAAGAATTTTTTTTTGACTTATCCTACCTGATCAGGTGTGGTATTCTTTCCCGACTTTCTACCCGATTAATCGGGTAGGAAGTCGGATAAACACTTTTGTAGCTAGTAATTTTTAAATTATTTTAACAATTCAATTAAATAACATGCACTAATTTAATAACACAATAAATCAATAACACTAAAACCTAAAACAACTATAACAACAATTACAATAAAACATAAAAAAACATGAACATCAATCTATCATAATTGTTACACAAATATAGTAACAATTATTTTAAGTTTAAACCATATAAAACACATTAAAATTATAACTGTTTTAATAGATTGTTAGTTCACTACAAATTATGTAACCTACACAAAAAATAAATTTATATTTTAGCAACTCAAACTTCCACAACAATAACAATGTTATAATATAAATTATACCACACAAATACTTTTATAATTACTAAAAAAATATAAAAAAGTTAAGAACAATGCTACATGGATTTAAAAATTAAATTGATAATTTCAACAATTGATTTCACTGTGGATCCCAACATTTATTAGGACTCATTACCTATTCAATGATTGATGGGTATTCCGCATTCTTATTCTATTTAATCGAAAGATCAAAAACTCTTTCGCATTCCTATTTAATTTTTGTGACTAGTCATTCAATAAAATAGAATAAAATCGAGTAAAATAAAAAATTGTGACCAATCAAAAATTTAAACACCCCTAACCGTGTTCCACCCAAGTATGCACCAAAACTTCCAAACCCTAGAAGTGGAAAAGTCACAACCCCTACCACCACCCCTAACCTCACATGATAGTCCTTTATAAACGCCACCCCCGCAACCGCAGCTCTGCCCCAGCTGCAAAAGCCGAGGCTGACGCCGCCGCCGCCTGCAACGGGTTCGGCAAGTCCTTATTGTCCTCCAACTCAATCTGTGTAACCCTATTCTCTCTCTTCATCTGAGCGACCTCGATGTCATACTTTGAGTACACGGAAACAAACTCTCCGATGGCCATACTACAGGCACCGCCAACCAACCCAGCTATGCCGGAGAGGATCATGGACTTAACGTCGGTTCGGACAGCCCCAACGCCCATCATCAACTACGCGGTCGAGAGCAAACCATCGTTTGCAGCCAACACAGCGGCTCTAAGCCACTGGGCTCGTTTTGAGTAATCAAACACCTCAATTTCAAGTCCTTCC